GGGGGGGGGCAACGCAGGGAGAGAGAAGCCAGGCCACTGCAGAGAGGAGATGAGCCTTCCTCTCAGGTCAAGCGGGGCTAGTAGGCCAGGCTTCTGGAGGCAAGAAGGCTTCAGAGCACCTTTCTCCCCAGCTGGCAATATCTCTGTACCACAGCGGCAGCTCCACTTCTCCCCAAGATCTGTTTCCCGGCAGCTCAGTCAGCTCCTGGAAAGCTGTAAGGTATGTGAACCCCGACACCACACCGCTGTCACACACACACCTGCCCCCCACCACCACCATGCCACGAAAAGATATTTTCTTCTCCTTGCTCCTGCATTAGGTCTTCCTCCTCCATCGTCCCTCATGTCTTCTTCAGCCCCGTTCTTGCCCCCTGTCCTTCCGCGTGTCTTGCCCCTTTTGTGTTTCTCCATCCACTTTTGGAAGTGTCTTCCACGGTCTTCCATCCCTTGTGTTGTTCTACATCCAATAGTCAACCCATCCAAGAATAAATGTAGGGCCTAGACCTGAACCCATCCACCCTGGGCAAACGGGGTTTGGAGTAGTCACAGTGGGTTCTTCTCTTCTTGCATGAGTGTTGGTAGGAACATGCTTGCTCTCTGCCTCTCCGGGTCTCCCCCAGTGCTTCCTGACAAAGGAGCATGCCCATTCTCCCCCAAAGTGGTCCCACCCAGCCCTCATACAGAGCTGAATGGTCCAGATTTTCCAAGTTGATGCCGCCCCCATCACACACTTCCTTGATCTCTTTCCATCCCTCCTTCATTCACCTGCCAGGAAGATGAAGAACACTTTGTCCATACCTCGATGGTAGCTGCACCTGTCGACTCTGAAAACACCAAGTCACAGGATGAGACAAGACAGCTCCAGCTGCTACCCCAGCGGGTTCCTTGAGGCGGGACAAAAGCTTTTTGATAGTGTGAAACAAGGCCACCATGACCGCACTTTCCAAACCAACAATTTACAGTTGAGAACATCCCGGAAAATCAGTTGTGTATAGACAGACACTGCATGCACAGCCCTAGGCTGGGTCTAGTAGAGATGTGAATGGTTCAAGCTAGATGTATCTAGTTGTGTAAGTGGAAATCAAAATGGCAAGGGGTGCGAGACTGAAGGGGCTGGGAAAAGAAATGCGTACAATCCTTCCAGAAGCTCTGTCATGACACAGTCACTGTCTGTCTGTCTTCCTGCCACCAGCTGCACAGTTACCAGAAAAGAAACCAAGTTATTGCCTCTTCCATGAAGAGCCCAGACACAGGACACCGTCTGAGGTTCATCTGCAGCTGGTAAAGGCAAGCTCGGCCCCTAACTGGAACATATAGCTGTCTCACTGTGTGTTCTTCCTGGGACTGCTGTGTGACGAACTGCCTCAGTCAGACACAGCGATAGCTAACCTTGTTTTTCAACTTGACTATGTCTGGAGCCAACTAAAACCCCAAGCTGCCGGGCCCTCCTAGGAGGGATTTTCTTAGATTATTTGTAGCAGGATACCCATCCTAAATCTGGGTGGCACCTTGTATTGGCAGCCCAGATGAAAGGCCAGGGAAAAAGGAAAGTGTCTTTTGCCAACTTGCCTTCACTCTGGCTGACAGTTCCTCCAGCCGACTACTGTAGCATTCCTTCTCTGATACTAGAGCAACTTCTTCAGGTTTCCAATGTAGACTGCAGACCAGCACCTCTCTGGGAATCCTTCAGCACTCCAGCACCTGATTGGAACCACTGAGACATCCAGCCTTCTAGACTGAACAACTACTGGATTCTCAGTGTAAGGCAGCCATTGAAGAACTCCTCAGACCTCATCCTGTAAGCCAGTCTAATAAATTCCCCTGATACATGGTGTCTTGGTTTCTGTCCAGGTTTGTTTTTCTGTTACTGTGATGAATACCACAGCCAAATGCTGTGGGATGTTTTTGTTTTCTGTGCTGTGAATATGTGTTGCTCTGATTGGTTGATGAATAAAACACTGATAGGCCAGTAGCCAGGCAGGAAGTATAGGCTGGACAAGCAGACGAGGAGAATTCTGGGTGGAGAAAGGCTGAGTCAGGAGACGCCAGCCCGCCGTCCAGGGAGCAGCATGTAATGGCACACAGGTAAAGCCATGTAAAAAAATGGCAACACACTGATTAACAGAAATGGGCTGGGTTTAAGTGCAAGAGCTAGTCAGTAGTAAGCCTGAGCTAATGGCAGAGCAGTTTTAATTAATATAAGCCTCTGTGTGTTTACTTGGGTCTGAGCGGCTGCAGACTGGGCAGGACACAAGAAAACTTCAGCTACAGCCAAAAGCAACTTGCAGTAGAAAAGGTTTCTCTCCTATAACACCCGAAGATTGCAACCCATCATTGAGGAAAGTCAGAACAGGAACTCCACTGAAACAGAGGCAGAAACCATGGAGAAAAGTTGCCTGCTGGCTTTCTCAGATAGCTTTCCTATACATAGAGAGCACTCAAGACACTGTCCACCGGCCAATGTGATGTAGGCAGTACAGCTGGGGCTCCCTCTTCTTATGATTCCTGTACAGTGAAAGCCAAGCAGGACAGCTTCTAATGTAAGTCTCTCTCTTCAACGCAGCCTTGTGAAATTGTCACCATCTTTCCTGTTGACAAGTTTTCTAGTCTAAGATCCCGGTCCACTTGTGAAGCTCTACCTCCTAGGAGAAACATATACCTCCCAGGAGAAATGTATGAAGTGTGTGCGTGTGTGTGCATGCATGCATGCGCATGTGTGTGTGGTGTGGTGTGTGTGTGTGTGTGTGTGTGTGTGTGTGTGTGTGTGTGTGTGTGTGTGTTTTACTTGGATCAAAACTAGGGCTTTTTGCAAGTGAGTCAAGTGATCTACCATTGAGCTTTATGCACAGCTCTTCCTATGAGAAGTTTTCTGACTCTTTCTTGGTTTTACTGATATTTCCCTGCCCTGAGCTTCTGAAACATCTACTGACTGAATCAGCCACCTGTCTCCTGCAGCCTCTCGGTCTGTATTGTGACTTTCATATATCTACATAGCAAAAACCACCAGGGTTCTATGCAGAAGCCCCATGTCCCTTTGGTGGGCCCTTCAAATGCTGTTTTTTTTTTTTTTTTTTTTTTTTTTTTTTTTTTTTTTTTTTTTTTGTTTTTTTTTTTTTTTTTTTTTTTTTTTTTTGTGCTTTTCTTCCCACAGGCTCAAGATGGCCAACTCTTGTTTAGAAAGCTACTTCTGGCAGACTTGAGCCAGTTTCTATATATATAATAAGCAAAGGCTTGATGTGCCTGGCAGTATAGAGACCCTTAGTTTTCGTATCTCAGGGAGAAAGAAATCATTTCAGCTATTGCAATACAGGCAGGTCTTCTTGAATTTTTTCACTTGACTAACCTTTTTACCCAAGAATTTTTTATATGACGTCACCTCTGCAGGCATAAAAAATATGGATATAGGGACTAGAAACACAGCTTAGTGGGTAAAGATGTATTGACCAGACTTGATGACTTAAATTTAATCCCCAGAACCCACAGTGGAAGGCAAGAACTGGCTCTCAAAAGTTATCCTCTAATTTCCATATAGGCACACAGATGTACTCATATAAACATCATACATACATACATACACACAAAATAATAATTATTACTATAAGTAAAATGACATATATAAATCAAACATTTGTTTATAATACAAATTATAAATCTTTGTTGTGCATATGATTTTACCACTTATTAAAGGAGAAAACAAATTTGATTACTAAAAAGATATACTTATCTTTAAATAAGTAATTAAATCTGTGACGAATACTTGATATAGTAGGAGGTAGAACATCTTCAGCATTTTTCAGAGTTCATTGATACTTTGATTTTATGAGTGTCAATGCCAAGAGTGTTGCTTCACATAAATACATATTATAAAATGGCAGAAGTGTGTTTAGGGTCATTCTTTTAATTTATTGAAAATTCTATCTTAATCCCCAGAGAGCATAAACTTCATAAATGTTTATGGAACAAGTTGGCAACTTTAAAAACAAAATATTCTGACCCAATCCAACCCAAAGATATGCTGATTTGATACATGCTGGAGAGTGAAACTATTAGTAGGAAAATACTAAAAGAAAAATCTGTCTTCAATAATTAGGTCATTGTATTTCTAAGATGAAAAATGTATAGAGTAAAAGCACTGCAATTCATAACATTCAAGAGTCTCAGATCTGAGCTGTTGTGTGTCAGGTGGCATTCATTAGAGTCGTGTGACGAGATGGCATGTGCAGGCCAGAGTGCATATGTCACACGTTAAGAAGTTGGACGGAAGTGAAGTTGAGTGATACATTATGAACACTGCCAAAACCTCTTTGGATTCATTGTATACTTGACTCTGAATTAATTTTTGGTCATTACATTAAGGGTAATTTGGGGAGGTAACAGAATATAAGTACTGTAGACACGTTTTTTAATCCCATATTCTGCTAGCCCCCATGATTCTAGAAACCACAAGCCCATCCCAACCTTGAAAATCCTGCTCTCTGATCCGTGGATCCTATGACCCAGTATCTCAGTGGTGTGGAAATCTGTAACTCTATGTATACACCCCCATGGAAATGTGCTGATGCCACACTGGGTAGCCCAACAGCTCCTGCTGCTGTTCAGGAGGAATGGCCTGTCTAGACAGTGTGGGGACCAGCCAGGCCAGAAATCAGAAGTCCACCTGACTCATCCACAAAGACAAGACAAGATCTTTGACTATCCCTAGTGGGAAGCCTCAAAGGAAACATGTATGTCCGAGTTCATTTTAGAGTTGAGAATTATTAGCTTCTCTTCTCCACATTTCAGATCATAATGGGCTCATGGGGTGGGGGTCAGAATGAACAAACTCTGTGTCAAAGCAAAAAGTTTGACAGGGTGCTGGGAAATTCTGGTGTACGTTCATTTCCTCTCTCACCTGAGTGCTAATCAAACCGTGGTTTGTGGGCTGGAGAGATGAGCCCATAGGTAAAGCTCTTGTCACAGAAACACGAAGACCTGAGTTCAAGTCCCCAATGTCTACGTGCTTTACAGGTATGATATAATAAGACAGGATGTAGGAAGAGAGAAGAATCCTGGGAGGCTCACAGGCTAGGTAACAGTGAATAACAAAAGGCCCTGTCTCAAATAAGATGAGAGGTGAGGAAAGACCCTGAAGTTTGTCCTTTGATCTCTAAACCTGTGCCCCCTAAATCACACACGTATAGATCAGAAAAAAAGAAAACTATAGTTTATGCTCACTAATTTAAAGCCTAAACTGAAGTTTGGATTCTCCTAGTCTTCATATTTCCCTCTTTTATGTGATCTACATTTAACTTCTTTCTCTGAACATTTATTTAATTCCTGGGAAAGAAGGAACAAAGGAAAAGTCAAGGCTTCAAACTCAATTTATCAATAACTCGCTTAAGCTTTTCTCTTTGTCAGAGTTTCTCCGAAGCATTTAGTAACTTGAAATTCCAAGAGCCCTGTATTTATTTGAGTCATCTTTACACATGTAATCATGAGCATTGGGATACAGAATACCTAACACCCCAATTATTATGTGAATACACAGAAGAAAGAGGTGTAATGATGTGAGGGTCAATTTAGAACCTTTGAAAGCTCAGTTAAATAGCCCCCAAATGGGACTCTTTTAAAAGCACCTCTTGTAATCGTCCTCCTTATTCGTGGGAAGCTCATTCCAAGACCTTGAGTGAGTGCCTGAAAGCACACTTAGTGCCAAGCCCTCTCTAGCACCGAGAGCCTCCCCCTGGCACTCCTGGATGCTCTCTGGTACAACTAAATTGCTGCCACCCCTTCTCTTGCACCCCCTGACCGTAAGGATTCTTTGAACACAGCAATGCTGCGGCAGTGATTTGATAGCCCCGTTAAGTGGCTGCAGGGCAGCTGGTACCATGTACAGTGCAGATATTGGGAATAAAGGGATGACTCGTGTCTCAATCCAGAGGGAACAAAAAGATGGACTGCACAACACTCGGAGCAATGCACAATTTAATATTAAAGGACTGTTTATGTCTAAAGATCCTCTACTTAACGGTTTCATGTCATAGTTGACTGTGGATAAATGAAATCATGAAAAAGCAAAAAACGTACCAAGGGAAGGCTGTTTTCTGTGTATTGTGTGTGCACACACATCTATGTTGGTGGACACATGCTCTTGGTAGAATTCAGAGAAGACAGGAGATCAAAAGTGAATGCCAATCGTCTCCTCCTAGTTAAGAATAACACCGCCTTAATCTGCCTCCACTGTGCTAAAAACACTCTAACCAATAAATTTGACAAGCTCTCTTAGTCACACTCTCTCAGGTCATTGCCAGAGTTCACCTCTAATGGTCTCTCACAATGCTGATGGGACTTGAGGTCAATAAAAACTTTATGTGGAGCAATTTAGTTGAGGGATGCGGGAGGGAGGGGGTAGGTCCTCTTTGACCTAGTCACTCTGCTTCAACAGATAGCTCTAATGTACTAGTTTTTAAAAGAACAATAGTAGATTAGGGTAGAAGTTCTTATGTGTATTTTAATAAAAAAAAACAAATCATAGGAAATACACTACATATCAAGTGTTGGTTAATAAATTGTGTAAATCCAAATCATAGGATATTATACAGCATGCAGAGGACAGAGAGAGAGAGAGAGAGAGAGAGAGAGAGAGAGAGAGAGAGAGAGAGAGAGAGAGAGAGAGAGATTTAACAATAAGAAAATCTGTTTATTTTTGTGAAGTGTGCATGGTCAATCTCTGAACATACAAACAGTCTTGGGACAAGTGTTGGTGCATCTCCTTCTTGGTGCCTGCTTCAGCTGGGCACTACTAGGGTATCACCTACAGAAGCAAGTGCTTCAAGAGGCCACAGCTCTCAGCCTGGCATCACTCCCTCCAAAAGACGCCATGGAGATGGGGAGTGAGATCTGATTTTTTTGTTTGTTCTGTTTCTTTTAGAGAGATTTAAATGATGTACATTCATCTCAGTTTTGGTCAAGGACATAAGAAATTTTAAAAAGTAACAGCAAAAGGCAAAGCATCCTGCCTATCGAAGGTGCTGGGCAGCAGGAAGGAAGCAGTTAGCACTCCCAGGTGAGGCTTTCCAGAACAGGTGGAATCATGGGTAAATGTTCCAATCTCTGTATATTCTTCAGAACTCATGACCGCGTAGCCAGCAGGACCGAACCCCAGTCATCCGAAGCAGTAACCAGCTCAGTAACAAATTCTTGTTCTCTCCATTTTCTGCCCCACGCCCCCACTTCCCTCCTCCTTGCAATCCACTTCCCATTAAGAAGCCCGAACTCGGGCCTGGAGAGATAGCTCAGTGGTTAAGAGCACTGATTGCTCTTCTAGATCAACCCAGGTTCAATTCCCAGCACCCACATGGCAGCTCACAACTGTTGGTAGCTCCAGCTCCAGGGGACCCAACACCCCCTCACAGACATACATATAGGTAAACACCAATGCACATTAAACAAAAATAAATAAAATATTAAAAAAAAAAGAAGCCCGAACTCTCATCCTTACCTTAAGCTCTACTGGAAGGTGAGATAAAATTAAATCACTCCCGAAACATAATATCCCCTTGAGCGCAGGTTATTGGGAATCACGGACTGAGAAAGCTGAGTAAAAAAAAGCTTCAATTCCATCCCTCAGTACAAGCAAGAAAACAGGAAAGGGAACTGTGGTCCTCTCCTTAGGACAGGAGGGAAAGGCTATAAACTGGGAATGAATATAAACTGATTAACATCTGCTGTCACTATACTGCCAAACACTGGGGGCACCCATGGAGGTCAAACCTGGTCCTGGTCCTCCAGGAACCCACAAGGCTAGAAAGACCCCACACACGCAAAGCCAGAACCCATTGAAGGCATCTCTTCTGCCCTACACGCTGTTCTTGCTGTTCCAACTAATTCAAAATGGATCCAGCTTTAGAGACCACAACATTACACGATGCACCAGGATGTAATTATGAATACCAGGAATGGGAGGACCACAGTTGGTCACCAGCGTCATAAATCCAAGTCACACCAACATCGACCGGGGTCTCTTCTCCTTGGTTGTAACTCCTAGAATTTCCTTTATGGCTTTCAAACTGTGCCCCAAATAAAGTGGTCCCCGAAGGTATGGGGGTCTGAAAAGAAGCTCCAAGGGAAGATGGTTGTTTTGTCCACACTACAGGTTCTCAGGCGGAACTTCAGACTCACCTCTAACCAGTTGTTAGATGTGTACACACATGACGTGGGACCGGCAGAGACAACGGGACCAGCCACCAAGATTTAAGACAGCAGTTACGAAGTCTTCACAGTCCGGCAAGGCTGTGTAAGTACTGTGGCTGGGGGTATGTGGAAACAATGGATCCAAGAAGTGAGGATCTGGTGTTGACAGACACGGCAGTTTTCCTAAAGCCAAAAATTTAAATTCCACCTAAAAACACCTACTTCTTTCATGGTAACGACTAGCTTAAATGATTTTCGCTTACCCTGTATTGGTCTGTGTGGTACAAAAGAGAAGACATTTGTCCTTTAAGCCCCTAGACAGGAGTGTTTCAACAACAAAACTGTTGTAACTGAAGATGTATTGAAAGCCCATAGAACTGCTGAATTATAAAGTATTGAAAAAGCATAAAAACAAACGTTTTAAGGAATGAATAGATGTGAGGGACTCAAATACATGAGCTCCTAGTGTTTAATTTGGGGCCAGCTGCATCATCTGACATGGTGAGGTACCCAGGATCATGTGACTGTATGGCCAGTGTTGCATCACACAAGGCCTCTCCCTATAAATAGTCTCTTGGCTGTCTTCTACCTCGCATTGGCTTAACTGCCTGAGAAACAACTGGTTTGGATGCGTAGGTTCCACACCCTAACCCCACCCTCCCTCCAACCATCTCTACTCCCACACACATGACAGCGTTAATAAAAAAATAAAAAAGTAAAAAAGTAGCAGGAGCCCACTGTACAGAGATCCAAAAAGAGGATCTTCAAAGGAAAAGGAACCAGTCACCACAAACACTTCATGGACCTCTTGGGAAAATGAAGCAAAAACTGAATAAGATTATGAAGAACAAAGAATCCAGCCTCCCAGGAGCTGGAGGTCCAGGAGTGGGACACAGTTGAGGGGTGTCTTCAGCCCCTTTTTAAATCACGTGTTTTGTTTTTTCTTTCCCTAACATACTTTGACCGTGTTCTTCTCCCTCCCCCAACTTCCAAGTTACCCCCCACCCCCTCCCTAGTCACCTAACTTCATGCTTGTGCAAAACAAAAACTATCAAAACAAAGCCATTTTGCTCTCTCTCTGAGGTTTCTATGCCAGCCAGTGTACATATGGTTATCATTGCCTACCGTGAGATATGCCTGTCAAATATCAGTACAACCTACTGCCACGAGACAGGCCGATTTCCTATAGTGTTACTCCAATACACTGTGCTCCAAGACTCTCTGCTGTTAGGGCCTAGAGATCCTAGTATAAAAACTTCAAACAGGACTCTACCATCTCTCCTCAACCTCATGTTAAGACCAAATACAGAGACCCAAGAACAAAACCGCTCATCAGAAAAGCCCAAGAAATCCGTCACTACCTAGAACATGAGCCAAGGCTCTGGAAATCCACCTAAGTTGGCTGAGCATCAGGGAAGAGCTCCTATCTAACCCTTTTCCGGTTTCTGTACCTCTCCTGGCCTGAGGAAGAGATGGAAAGCCGGTTCTGAGACCTCACACTTACAGATGAGCTTTGACCTTGCTGGTTTGGGGCGGGGGTTGAATACGTATGTCCGTATGTGTGAGGCACAAGTATGTGGGGGTATGGAGCCCTGTCTTGCCAGCTTGGTCTGTGAATTCCTTGTCTCTGCCTCTCGTGTGCGAAATTACATTTGGGCCACCACACCCGCTCATCTTACATGAGTTCTCGGAACCCAAACTCTTCTCCTCATGCTTATATAGCAAGCACTTTACCCACTAAACTGTCTCCCCAAACCCTCTTGCTCGTTTTTTCAGAACCACATTGATGACCTCCAGAAGATACTCTGCTTCGCAGAACATCTGCAATTTATTGGCAATGACTGGAGGTGGAGAATGACCTGGTACCTTTACTTAAAGATTCAAGATTCGTTTATGCAAAGAATACCAAATATCCATCAGCTATTCGATCCCCACCGTACATTAGACCTGGGGCACACTATGAGAAGCTTAGGAATGTTGCCCTTTGCTGCCTGTGTCGTGAACAGGCATACACCTTTGTAACTCCATTGCACCTTCGCTCTAGCTCATACTTCTACTGAGCTAGTGTTGGAATAACCTGGTTCCTTCTCAGAAAAACACACTTCTCCTTTGCTGCCAACAGATGTAGAAGCTGACGGCAGCATCAATCCAGCCGGTGTCTCGCCCAGGTTAGAGACGTTATCTTATCCCAGAAAGCACCTCAACTTATCCCAAACCAAAGCTCAACCAGGAATTGCATTAGCAATCTCTCAAACAAGGAAGAAGTGGTATATTTCCTCGGACTCTCTCAAACTACCACACTCCACTATCTTATTACGGTTAAAAAAAAAAAAAAAAAAAAAAAAAAAAAAAAAAAAAAAAAAAAACTGGAGTACTCCAGGGACCACAGACTACTCCTTAGCTAAGTAATTGCACTCAAAAACACTTTTTTTTCCAGAGAAAGATGATTTATTTAGAGATCCTGGGGTGGAGAGGCAAGCTCAATGATGATTATGGTGGCCTTGGGCCTGCAGCAGGAGGTACTGTCTGTTGAGTCAACCACGGGAACAAATGTGACTTCGTACTGCATGGAATCAAGCAGTTTCTTCAGCCAAAGCATGTGTGACTCACTACGGATAAAAATGAAAAGCTGTGAGGGAACACTGCAAAGTTTTGTGTTCAGCCAGGCAGTGGTGGCGCACGCCTTTAATCCCAGCACTCAGGAGGCAGAGACAGGTGGATCTCTGTGAATTCGAGGCCTGCCTGGGCTACAGAGGGAGTTCCAGGAAAGGCGCAAAGCTACACAGAGAAACCGTCTCGAAAAACAAAAAACAAAAAAGTTTTGTGTTCTTCACATAGGGACCTTCCCAACTCTGTGACCTGAAAATGCCATCAAAGGCAAGGTTTCAAAGTATTTGGGAGCCCACTTTCAAAGAGATAGGTCCAATGATAATACCAGAGGGAAGCTATATACCACAAAGAAGGGCAGGTATGCGGGGAAAAACAGCTAAGGAAGAATTTGAGAAGCTGTATGACGAGCTACACTTTATGTTCTAAAGGATGTCTAACCTTTTAATGTTGTGATACATTATTTCAACCAATGTGTTTGGGTGCATTTATAGCTATCATGGGATGCATAGTTTGGGCATGCCCAGTTTAGATGAAAATGTGCTGTTGTAGAAAATTGGCCAAGCTAAGATGGCAATTACTCGGTTTTGAGAGTTCCCCTTTGAAATCAGAAAGTGTCATCAGTACCTTAGGCCTTTGTTCCTTTTCTGGTGTGATTTCTTTGCCCTGTGTCTCTGTGGAAAATCCTTCATGCAACATGTTGGACACCAACATTGATAGGCTTTTGCCATCTTCTCACGGTCCCCAACTCTGGTCAGCAGTGAGGTTCTGGTTGAGATAGCCTCTGGCTGCTCCCCCCATCATCCCTCTCCCTCACCCCAAGTCCATCTCCAAAGCAGTCCAGCCATCCTCCCTTTATAAGTGACTGTGACATGGGCCCTCCCAGTCAGAGGACCTGATGACTGGGGAGGCTTTGTCACAATGGCTGGAAGGCAACCGGAGAGTTTGCTTGGATGGTTGCGAGAGTACTGGAATATTTCAATAAAGTCAAGCAAAGGCTTTTCAAAAAATCCTTACGTTGACTTGATACTCATCAATACAGCACATAAGAGCTTTATATGAGTGATGCAAACCAAGTAAAATTCCCTGTGCCTTTCAAGTGCAAGTCTGGCATTTTTAATAAGCATGGGCTGTTGGTTTGTCTTAATTCTAGAAATCTCTTGAGCATGGACCTGGAAAATATAGAATTCGTAAAAATGACTTTCTTGAGGTCTAATTGACATACAAGCTACAGTATTTCCAGGACACAATTTGAGAAGTTTTGACATTGGTATATGCCCAATGACCATACTGCCACGTATCAAGGTAGCAAATGTATCCACTGCTCCTGGGAGCTCCCTGTGCCTCCATAATGCCTCCCCTCTCCGCCAGTTCCTCTCCAACAATGTGGTAGTCAAAGCTCTAAGCCAGCAACTTTATTAAAAATTTATTACCCCTGCTCCTTGCTCCCCCAAGAACCCCCCAGAGATGCAACTTCAACCTCAAGTCCAATGTCTCAGAAGTCATGTATACAAATAAAAGATCTAGGCAGAACCTAGTATATATGAAATGTGACCAAAAGATACCTTTTGAGAGTTTATGTAATGATTTGCCATAACGTGTGGGATCTCTGGGTTTTGGAGGACATAACAGGAATTTAATAAGAACCACTGATTTTTCCATGAACACATTCTTATTCACTATTGACTTATTAAATACTCAATTTGGCTATGGAAGTGGAGGTTGCTTGAAGGGGAGAATAAAAAGCCTGGCTTGAGAGGGATGCTGGAGGGGGAAGAGATGTGGAGAAGATGAATACATCTGTTAGGAAGGTTTCCTGAACTTTTTCAACCAAAGAGTGCTACAATTAGCCATGTTTGCAGGAAGTTTCACTGGGTGGTACTGGAAGGAAAAAAAAAAACTTATGTATCTGAAGGTAGCAAGGATTCTCTACATGGGCAACCATTTATTTTCATATAAATGTAAGCATCACAAATGCAGTTTCAATAACTACAAGCAAGAAAAAGAGAAAATCCCAGAATGTGCCAGAAGCCACGCCTTGTAACATATGAGTTCGATGGTGCGAACCTTTAAATCATCTTTAAACCCAAGTTCCCAGGATTCCTTCACAAATGAGGACTAAGGCAGAAAATCTGCACGTCTCATTCTTTACCACCTGAGCTTTTAACCCCAGGGAGAGCAATGAAGGAAGGAAGAGCAAGAGACAGGAAGAAAGAGAGAGTGGTAAGTAAACTCCACATGTACCTGTCTACAAAGCACCTTAGGTGAGGCGGGAGATGTGCGCATCACAAAGAGGCCAGGATTCAGAGTGACCCCAGGTTTATGCTCTGCGGTTGCTGCTCCACATGCTTAACTTTTTAAAACAAGATGGTAGTAGATTTGGGGAGGCAGTGGCTTTGCCTGGAGCCGATGTTACAGGAGGTGGCAAGACAAACCAAGAAGACCAGGACACTGTCTAAAGCTCACTGTTGGTCTTTCCTTCCTAACACCGTTGCAGTAGAGTGTTCTAGGGAGGAAGTAGACATTTCTGTTTGTGGCAGAATCCGCCCCCCCCCCCCAGAATGCCAGGCCATCTTGTAGTGTTACTCTTCACACTTCCTCCTAGGAGAACAAGGCTGCCCTGTATCAAGAGCTTCTTGACAATAAAATCTAGCTACTGCCACATTCAAATACAACTGGGTATGTGTGTGTTCGGTCCTTACCTAAAAACAAGTTGCGCGTGCTCTCCCGTGAGAGGCAGGGGTGAAATGTCACTACACCTCTGTGCTTACAGCTGCAGAATTCCATGACCATAAATGGCAGGCAAGTTGGTTTGTAAATCAATGGTTTTGAGGTCTTCGCATATGAGAGTTCTATCAGCCTGTGGGCTGCGATGGTGTCAGCCCCAGCACTCTGTAGCCAGAAGCAAATGGATACTCTGTCTCCCTGGGAACAGATTCAGTAAGTCAGAAATACAAAACAAGCCTGGTCAGAATCGTTAGATCATTCATATTAAAATGATAAAGATGTATTTTTGGTCCCTTAAGGATACTTCTTAGAATACGGCCTTGCTGTTAAGTATCGTGGGACCATTTGGTACCTCCTCTGCCTGATGCACTGGTACCAGCATGGTGGTCACAATGCTTTATATCATCAATTATGAAGGCACCGGCCTGGACATGTGGCAGCCTCTGACTCTTTGCCTTCTTAGTGGCAACTACTTAGGTGGGGGGGGTCTGACGATGGAATGACTTCTAGAAGGCAAGAACCCCAACAAATGGCTCTCAGAACGTAAGAGAAGAAAGAAGCAAGGAAAATGCACAGGGCATGGGAAGGAAAGATAAAGAAAAGTCACATGTCAAGTAGCCTGGACTGGGGATGAGGATGTCTAAGCTACCTTCATCCTGGCCTATGTGTTAGGTTCTCTAGAAACCCTCCTACTCCCGTCCATAGATGGATTAAAACACTTTCACTTCTACAGACCGTATGAGACCAAGTGATTTAATGCATACACAAAATTTAAGACATACCTAGTATGCGGCTTGACTTTTGCCTCTAACAAGAGGAACCTACATTGTATTCTGAGAACACGTATTTTTTTTAGATTTAATAGACAGGAAAGTGGTCAGTGTTATCTGGACCCTTCTGAAGCATGACATTTGGATTTGTTTTGTGTATAACCACAACGCTCAGGTTATTATTAGTGATGACTTCTGGGAAAGCAAAATGAATGAAGCCAACTTTCCAGAAGTCCAAATAAACTGGACTTTCAGTCCTCTAATTTACAGCCTGCCTGTACAGATGTAACACTTTTCCCAGTTCCCTCTCTCGTTTCACGTTTCTTCCACCATGATCCCATCACATGAGTGCAGAGTCAAGGCTGGACAAGATGCTGTGGAGCAATGGGAAGCCCCCAGGTTTGAGATCAGCAAGGGCAGGGGGTCAGCCATGTGTCTTCCACTGCCTAGGTACCTTCCTTTAGGAAAGGGGCCCCCGAAATAAACAGGGCAAGGACCTCGGAAGGGTCTCCCACAGATCCTGAGTCCCTATCTTCCAGCTGCTCACTATCTGTGTTACTAAAAACATAGCAAGACAGGGAATTCTGTAGAAAAGATGGGAGAGGAGCCAGTAAGAAAAAAACATGGAAAAGAGCAGAACATCCATAGAACCAAGGTGATCCAGAGTTGACTTAAAAGTGAGCTGAGTTCAAGTCCCTCCTCTTCTCTCAGAAAGCCACTATTTGTCCTGAATCTCTGGTCTTTGGTTCTCTACCAAAGATATCAGATGTGTGCGTGGTTCAGAAGGCTCTGACACTTAGTGGGGTATTTCATCTGTTTTCACCTTCTCCAGCCTGTCCCCATGCCCACGGCATGTTTGAACAAAAACTTCAGCAGCAGTACACAAAACGGGGTGTATGTGTGAACAGGGTCCCCACTCCCCAGCTGAAGTCAACATCTGGAAGACTTAGATTTCAGAGAGGGACTCAGACTTAGTCACCAACACGTAGAAGAAACACTTCCACTCTCCTTCTCAATAAACTCCAAGTCCCAACTGGATGGGCAGATTCATCCCTGTGAAGACATCTGTCACAGGAAAACCAATGAAGTTCAGAGAGGTGAGAGAGGATCCAGCTGGAAATATGACTGCCACGACATTATGTAACACTCTGAACCTGTCCATCCTAAGAACAGGGCCTCAAAGCCCTTAACCACAGTGTAGCTAAGGACCACACCATGCAGTCCACCCACCTGTGAAAATCAGTAGTATCTCTTTCTCTCTCTCTCCTCCCCTTTCCCTCCCTGTCCCCATGCCCCTCCAGTAACTATCAGAAGTTATCCATTTCCTTCCGTCTACCAGAAATAAAGGGAATGAAAGCAGAGTCCCATAGGGCAAGCCAAGGTATAGAAGAAAAGACTCTTCCAGGCTATTCCTCTGCTACTTTATTTGAATCAGCTCAGGCATTCACTCTGTGCGGTTTCTTTTTTCCACACCAGAATAAAACTTAGCAGAAGCCAGGGTAAAGAGACAGTGAGCAGACTGAGTTAACACACGGTTCTTGATGGGGTGGGGACTTCCTCTGGACCTGTGAAGGGTCAGGGGTGAGGTCACTGTTCTCCTCCTAAGCTGCCTTTGGTTCGTATTCCACTGGGGCAGAAAAAGCAACAACAGTGACTGATGTTCACCCCAGTTCTGTCCACCCCAGGAGATACGGTTTAAGAGCCAACCCCACAGGCCTCCAGCCCAGCCCTTGCCCAGCCCGTGACTTGCTTCCCAGAGTATAGCTCTCTGCAGCTGACATTTCTCAGTGTGCTTGCTATCTGAAGGAGGATTGAAAACGTCATCAGTTCTCAAATCCAGTTGCTTTTTCCCCTGCGATCTCAACTTCCCCGGGGCAGGGCAGGTTTTAGGGAAGTAGGAGTTGGAAAGAGAAATAGTATCTTGTCTCCAGGACCATCCCACCAGAAAAGCCTCTTAAACCAAGGATCCAGTTCCTCTGAAATACAGAGGTGAGCACAGAGCACCAGAGTGTAGAACTGTTCTCACCAGCCCTTCGCATTACGATGGACTACCTGTCCTCATAATATTTTGACGTGTCTAGTCCCAAGTGTGACTCTAGCTGCCCTGATGGAAGATAAAACATTATATGGTCAGTGCATCTGACCATCTCAAGAGAGAAGGTCCATCCACTTACTACACCAAGGGACCCACAGTTTCTTTTCAACAAAGACCACACCTCCAACCTCTCTGCCAACTACTACTATAAACTACTTCCTTTTGTTAATCAGAAATAAAGTCAAAAAAGAAATAAAACCTGAGTCCCATTGGATGAGGCAAGATGTGGAGGAAAGAGGCCCACTGTTGGAAGACAACATTTCCTGTGAGAAATGAGAGAGAAAATGTTGGTAAGAAGGGGGCCACCGACTCATCTTGGCGACCACCTAGTCGCCTAACTCAGCATGCTTATTTGCAAACAAGAGAGACAAAGTCCTGAGAAATCCCGCCAGTATCAGAACCAAGATAAGCTGCCTTCTGTTGAAACCAACCTAACACGCTGTGTGGCAATTCAGGCACAAAATGGGCTTTTAGGTAGTTCATCGCCTCAATTTGGAGGGTGATGTTACAGGATAATAGACTTGGAAGAAATGGCAGAACGCAAGAAGTGTGTGAGAAGCGGGTGGCATCTTCCTTAGAATTGTAGGACAAAACGGAAGGACTAGGATGAGTTAAGAAAATGAAATAGTCCTTTTAACAAACATTTTCCACAAAGGCCCATTGAGACCTCATTCTGTGGCAGGAGCATTTACCGTGAAGCTCCATTCAGTGGTGAGCAGAGCTGCTAGCTCCCAGCTTTTTGGGAGATCTGTGTTCTCGTGGGCCTGTTTGGAAGAGGGAAAAGCAGAGCGGCTGGAATGGACAGAGGAGCTTGAAATACAAAGGGCAAGGTGGAACACTGTTTTCTATTGCTCCGCCTTCTCTCTAAGAATAAAAGTCACCAAGGAATCAGTGAATAAACTCTTAAGGAATCATTTTGGCTGGTGTGGGAAGGTGCTTTACAACAAGATGCAGGTTGAGAGAAAAGCAGACACCAAACCATCCTCAAGTGCGGCAGGAAGTGTTAAAAAAAATATAAAGAGGAAGCCATGATGAGACTCACCATTCAAGGAATCTGGCACTCAAACATCTTGTTACCTGTTTATTACCAGAAATATGGGAGAGTAGGTTGCACTCCATTCTCTTCTACTCAACCAACTTTTGCTAAAACCTACGTGTTTGCTCAGTTCTTGAATGAAGATAATGGAGGATGAGGGAGAAAGAACTTTTTTCTTTCTTTTCTCTTTCTTTCCTTCCTTCCTTTCTTTCTTTTTTCTTTTTCTTTCTTTCTTTCTTTCTTTCTTTCTTTCTTTCTTTCTTTCTTTCTTTCTTTCTTTCTTTCTCTCTCTCTCTCTTTTTTGGTTTTTTGAGACAGGGTTTCTCTGTGTAGCTTTGGTGCCTTTCCTAGAACTCACTCTGTAGCCCAGGCTGGCCTCAAACTCACAGAGACCCACCTGGCTCTGCCTCCCGAGTGCTGGGATTAAAGGCATGTGCCACCACCACCCGGCGAGAAAGAACTTTCAATGTCTGTTGAAATTTGTTCTATGGAACTTAATATTAGTTATAAAGAGAGGCCAAAATAAGTCTTCCTGACTCACATAATCATTGCTCAGCTTCTCTATTGCGAAGTCACAAAAGCACTTCAAACCCATATTCAAAAGCCCAGCCTGATCTCACTGCCTCAAGCATCCACTCCCTGATACTACCCACTCTCACCTCCCACATCCAGTCTCTAAGACTTGGTCCTTGTCTAGTTCTCTAGCTCAGCTATCCCTTCCCCTCCCACAGCTAAGCTGTGATAAAATCCTCCCTCCTGGACTACGGCTATGGTATAGTTTCTCTAATTCACTCAGTTCTCCCACTTACTCCATCACCAACTCAACAGCCTCAGCTAATTCACTGATTTATGTAGATGCCTGACCAGTGGTTTAACGGATTTCATCCACTAGGCTGAAAGCTCCATGCACACAGGACTTTGTTTCTAGACTATATCTTTAGACTTTCCAGTGCCCAAATGTGTGACAGACATATCCTACCTACATAAGCAAATTCTTGAGTGCCTCCCAATGATGGTGATTCTGCATCCCAGACTCCCAAATACACAGGCAGAAACCTTTGAAGAGATCTGTCACATCTGCAGAGGTTCTGGTTCTACTGATTTGTGGCAGGTAGAGAAGCCAGGGATAGCCCCCAAAGACCCCAAAACACAGAAGATAAAACATTAAGACTTACTCAGCCCCTGATGTCAAAAGTGCAAAGACTGGGAAGAAAACATATTTTGATCACACTGAATCAGCTCTCCTAGACTCAAGTGTTTGTGGAAATACATTTGCTGCCCGCAGACACCATGAGACCAGTACTTCACGCACATGAATATCCACATTCAGTGACTTTTAAGTTCTCTACAGGCAAGAGACATTTTAATGACCACTGGCGAAACACTTCCTAGGCCCAGGACCGGGGTGGGACTTAGTTGTTCAATACCTGCTGAAAAGCCTTCTTTAACCTAAAAGCAGGGGGGAGGTCTCAAAATTGAGGACCGGACTTGAGCTGCCCTGAAGAGGCCGCCTTATCTCATATGTATGACCAAGGGGCAGCAAAGGCTAGTGACATCACAAGAGAGCCCCACCCGGCTGCTAAGCCACACCGCTTTGCAGTCACAATGGCTTAGACCTTAAATACACGGACTCCCGGCCCTGCCGGCCTTTCAAAGCCCCTCATTTTGGCAGAAATTACAATGTCGACCACCCGAAAGCTAAAGAGTCATGGCATGAGGAGAGGAAAAAACCGAGTTCCTCACAAGGGTGTCAAGAGAGGAGGTAGCAAGAGAAAATACCGGAAGGGCAGCCTGAAGAGCAGGAAACGGGGCGATGATGGTAAGTGAAGGGTGAGGAGAGCAGTTCAAGTTCAAGGGCGTGCTCTCCCGGCCACCTTCATGGAGGCCATCCTCAGGCGGAACCGGCAATCCCAACCTCAGATGCTAGGGCTCCAGGGGATGAGGTCCTTAGGGACGAGGATGTTGATGGCTGTTTTAACAGGTGTCTTTGTTGTAAATCTGTCCTTCCCCCACAGCAAGTCGCACTTACCGCTCCCACTTGTGACGCGGCGACGCACTCTGCCCTGGTGGACTTCAAACAGCACCAGGCAGCAACGGAAGAGCGGAGGGGGACTGCCACAGAGACCGGAAGTTAGACCAAAGCCAGAGAAAGATCCCATCGAGAGTGGGTAAAATGCCAGGCGTGACGAAGTAAGGGATGTATATGTTGGCTGTTTCTCCCCAACATCTCAATAACAATTTTGAAAACAAAAATAAACTTGTGAAAACTTGAAATTTTCTTTGATCTTTTGGTTGGAAAATATTGGTTTCT